TGTAGGACCCCTAGATCGGCTAGAATGGAACCCCAACTTATGTGGCACAGGACCCCCAATCATCTGGAATAGAACCCACCCTATGTGGCATAGGACCCCCAGATCAGCTGTAATGGAACACCACCATGTAGTGCAGGACCCCCACATCAGCTGGAATGGAACCCTCCCCCCACACATAGTACAGGTGCTGCCCTTGGCTGAAGCTCTCCCTGGGACCTGCGGCTTCTGCCTGTGGGAAGGTTGCTCCTGAGAACATCATCTCAGGGGCTATTTCCCCACTAGGACAGTTCTTAGAAGGAAGAACTGAGGCCGAATGAAGTGTCCAGAGCACAGCCTGGCAGTGCCTACATGGCCGGGGGACATATGAAGCCTGGGCAGCCCTGACCCTCCAGAGTCTGTGCTGCCCAACCTGTCTGACACCGGGGACTTGGTCCACACCCTGTCACACACTGAAGGTGACACAAAGTGCTCACCTGGCACCACAACACTCTACCATCCAGGCAGACTAGAGGGAGGGAGGATTTTGTGAGCACTTTATACAGAAGCGTCCTGGTTATTCTAATAATTGGGCTGCTCTGTGCAAACAGATGGCTGCATCGTTGACCCAAATTTAGGGCATCTTTTAGAAGTGGCATATATAAAATGGAAATAGTCTAATTACATAAGAGACTATTTTACACTCCTCAAGTATCAGATAATTCTGTCGTCTAACATTAATTCTAAGTTTATCCACAAGGCATGGTGGTGTCACCAGATGAGATTTCGGATGAAGTACCTATGATATGAATACACTGTCAGAAAGAGAGGCCTCTTTTCAGGGCCAGTATTTTTTTTTTCTATCTGCACAGCATGTAAGTGGATACCTTTTTAAAAAATTTCAGGTTAATATAAGGGTACATATAATTAGGTTGCGTTGTTTGACAATTATAGAGATGTGGAAACAACCCAAATGTCCCTCAACCCACGAATGGCTGAACGAACTGTGGTCTGTGCAAACCATGCAGTACTGTTAAGTTATTGGCCTTATGTCTTCATTTACTAAAGCTTGGCTCCAAAACACTGACTGTTTAGTGACGGAGTCAGTGACAACAATGATGGGAAATGAACACACACACACCTCTGTGTTTAGCGTCTACATTTTTATGGCTGTTCAGCAGTTTTTTAATAAAAAGAGAATGATGCCCTTGGGCTCAGGGCCAGTAGATAACAGCAGGGAGAGAGAGTCACAGCCACACCAGGGCTGGTGGGTCCAGGAGTAAGACACAGTTTCAACAAAAATGGATGGAGCCAGCTGTGAGAAACACCTGGCTTCCTTATCTGTTAGTGCCCACATCACACCAGGCAGTAGGGCAGTAGCTGCCCTACTTGCTAACAGACTCCCCGATGTCGACTATCCCTCCCCACGGAGGGATGAGCAGTTAGACACTGGCCTGTGTGCAAGCCACAGTCACGCCTGAATTAACGACATCTCCTGGTGACCAAAAGCTAATCGCTGCAAAGGCCAGCAGGAGGCCAGGTAAGGTGAAATCTCCCCGTGCAGTCCTTCTGCAAATTAAATCCAAGAGAACTATCGATATACAGGCTTGAAAAGAGCTCAGTAGAGATTTGCTAAGTAAGTTATTTAATTTTCTTTTAAGTCTTCCATTCTATAAATATGACCCGAGTACATTCATCTGTCTCTTGGGAAGACTGGATTATTAAAGGAACCCCTTAATGTTCAGCAATTCTAGGGTATGTGTGTGGGTGGGGTGGGGGGGCACAAAAGTTAAAAAATAAAACGCTGTTAACAGAAACCAGAATTTTAAAAATCATTTCTCTTAAAAATGATGATCTGACTAGAATTCCATAATTCCCTCCAAACAAATTCATAAAATATTTAATCTGAAGTATTGAATGCCAGTCTGCCATGGAGGAGTTTCTTAACTTCTCCTTGATTTGAAATGTGTGTCAGGAGATTCCGTAATTCTACATACTGACTAGTATTTAAACTATCCCAGCTCATGCGTCACGTCTCCCATTACACTGTAAACCTCAGGCTGATGACATCTGGCACATAAGTACTCAAAAGTATTTGTTGGTATCTTGTCTGAAATCACCTCTCTATTCAAAGCGACCAGCTGCGGTTCCCCGAATGTGGTGCTTTTCTCGTCGGGTAATTTGGAACACTAAGGAAATCTATCAGTGGTTTTCTTTCCTCCACTGCGACTGATTAAATGCCCAGCTGATCTCTGTTATGTTATATTTCCCAAAGGGCATCTCAGTTTGATTCAGTTGGCTATTTAGTTTTTCATTTATAGTTTCGAGCTATGGAGAGGAGGTTCTAATAACACTTATGTCAATGTAATACATAGCTTGGCTTGGCTTTCTTAACAACAAATAGCATTAAAAAATGAGTGTATGATTTTAGATACTTAATAGTAACCTAAGGGATTTTATAAGACATGGCGTTGCTACATTTATATTTAAAATTTTTCATTTATTTTAAAATTTTGGTCATTTATTTTAGTGACATCTTTTCTTAAATGAGATGCTAGGGTAACAATAATACTTGTGGGTTATATTTCTTTAGCTCTCCAGAGCTTTCATGTGCATTATTTCATTTTCCTCTTCACTACAGGCAGGAAAAGTTTATTATACATGTTTTAGAGCCAGGAAAACAGAGGTACGGAGAGGTAAAATGACTTCCCTCAGGGTCACGGAGATAGTAAATTGCAGAGCTAGAGCCAGAATCTCCGTCTTTTATTTCCAGGCCTGTCTCTATAAACTATGCCATTGTGTCACGGCATGCAAATGTTGTCCCAGGCCAAAGGCAAGCAGCGTGTGTGACAAAGGAAGCTCGCCAGAAATACAGACGTTTGGGCCCCACCCTGTAGGATTTTGCATTTCTAAAAATAAATCATTTTTCTAAATAAGAACGTAATAAAAATTTGGTGAGAGTGTGAGGGAATAAGGATCTTCACATCCTGCTGTGCTTCATGTTAACTTTGGGGAGGATAATGGGAAAAGCATAACGATGTAAATGAAAACGCCCCCTTGACCGCCCAATTCTTCTGCTCGGAAAATATCCTGAAGGCGTACGAAACAAGGGAGCCAATGCAGCATATCAGTTATTTACTGCACAGCTGCTTATGAAAGCAAAAGAGTGGGGTGGGTGGGGGAAGGAAGCAAAAAGCTCTTTCTGGGAATCCTTAAAAAAGCATAACACCTGTACAGGCAGTGAAGATGAATGTAGGCCCCAGACGGCCTCACTGCCGCTGAGTGGGGACGTCTGCACCAACAGACACTAGGAGTCGAACCCAGTAAATCCTTTGCACCAAAGAATAAGTTTTTATTATTGATGAGTTAAGGATCTTATTAACTGACGCCTACAGGAATATGGCACAGACCAAATATAAATCATATGTATTAGGTGTTTAGCACAATGTGTACTACCTAAGACACACCCAGTAAGAATTAACTGTAATGTTACTAATATTTATCATAATTATTATGTTAAGTTATGAGACAGCAACAAGATTTTGATTATTATTAGTGGTAGCTGGAATGGGCCAGTAGAAAGATAAAATAGAGACAAGCACTCAGATGCAAAAATGTTCAAGGTACAATGAGTGAAAGACTCGTGTCCCCAGCACAGTCCCAGTGTAGGACTTCTAAGTGCATCTATGGCATCGTCAGGTCTAGTCCTCTTCCAAAATGTGAATTTCTCATAAGGAATCAGAAATAAGGTGCTGACACAGGTACGACAGACAATCTCCTTTTCCTAGCGCAGTGATAAGCTGATGTCATCAGGGGTAGGCTTTCTCATAGTACAGAGAGCCTCAGGGGTAAATACAGACTAAGGCCGGACGCAGTGGCTCACACCAGCAAACCCAGCACTTGGGAGGCCCAGGTGGGTGGATCACTTGAACTCACAGGTTCAAGACTAGCCTGAGCCAGAGCGAGACCTTGTCTCTAAAATAGCCAGGCATTGTGGCAGGTGCCAGTAGTCCTAGCTACTTGGGAAGCTGAGGCAAGAGAATCGCTTAAGCCCAAGAGTTGGAGGTTGCTGTAAGCTGTGATGCCACAGCACTCTACTGAGAGTGACATAGTGAGACTCTGTCTCAAAAATAAATAAATACATAAATAAATAAATACTAAGCACACAGCTGAGCACCCTGGAGAATGTCTTCCATTAATGTCAGACGGTTCTGGCTTAGTGGCTTTAAGCGCCATTACCGGAAGCTGTCTACAGGTGAATAGGCAGGCTAAGAATCTGAGAACGCATTTCCTTTCTGCTAAACACGAGATTGCTACCCCCAAATCACATTTTTAATTTTAATAATTCAGGTCTGTTGAACACAGAGAACATCTGCCTTTGAGGCTGTACCTGTGAAAAAGCCAAAGTAAGCGCCCAGGTCAAGAGCCACACGGAACAGACCGTGATTCTGCCTGCAGACCGAGGGTGGTGACTGGTCTGCAAATGTTCCCATCAGGCTGCTAGTGATTTCCCAGGACTCTGGACACCGAATTGTGCAGATATACAGTGAGTCACCCCCAGGGATGTTTCCCCGGGGTCTATTGCTTTTACTGTGTGGTTTTGCAGAATACACGAAAAGACTTATGGCATCATTACACGAAACACTCATAATTCCGAACCCAGAAAGACCTGCTCTTCCCTCAAAAAACCCAATAACATTAATACCACAAGAAAGCCAAAAGAGAGATGCTGAAAGAGCCAGACTGAGTTGAGAAATGTATCACTGCCACTTCCTATCTTCTGAGGATTCTAAATTCTTTCATGCCACAGGTATATCTTCTAAATTATTTGAAAATATATTGATACCGCTAATCAACAATCCTAAATTAGTTCTCACTCAAAATCAGATTGGAAATCCTGCAAAACCACAAGATTAACCAGATATGGCACTCACTAAACAGGGGAGAAGCAGCTCAAGCCCACGTCCTCCTTGGCCCACGGGACTACGCGTGACAGAGGAGAGGCAGCTCATTGAAATACTCACACATACAAGACGGATCTGGTGTCCCCCACTTTCCCGGCGTCACCGACTGTCAGGGTGTCATAGCCTCTTTCCAGCTCAAACTCTTCAAAGGCGAGCTTGATGACCTACATCCAAGCACAAGACAGTGACTTAGCAGCAGAGAAATGTTCCCAGACTGGATACTGCAAATATCCAGCTGTCATGTTAAACTTTGCTTTGTAAAGCCAATGTATTTCATATGCTTCCCAAGATGCCTTAACTAGTCACTTGGATAACTGTCTGCATGTGAGAGCCTTGAATTATAGAATTTGATGAAATTCAAACTTGCTATTACAACACAGGTATTTTCTGAGCTAAAAATGAAATTTAACCACGACTACTCTTTAAGTCAAATATCTATAAAATATTTAACATTTAGATTATTGGAATTCACCTAACCAATGTCTATAAAATATCGATATAGCATCAGATTGTTTGGATTAACAAAAATTGACTCAGTATACATAGATGCTGTTTATAGTTAACAAGATATATTTTGAGGGCATACCCTGCAGTATTTTAAAAGTTACATATTCAGATTTCATGTAATTATCCATACTAACCCATGAAAAAGACTTTCTCTTTTTTCTACATATACATGTGTTTATTAGGTATCCACTTTTTGCCTTCAAAAAGTTAAAAAGGCTTAAAATATAATAACAATAACAGTGTTTAAGATACGGACTAGAAACAAAAACCTCGTAAAGAACGAACAAAGGTAAATACATTCAGAAAAGAAATCAGACAATTGCTGCATCAAAATATTAAGCAATAATAATAATAACGCAAAGAAATGACATTCACATTGTCAACTGAGAGTATGTCTATAATAGAATGCTTTGACTCTGAGGTTCAGTATGGAGTCATCAGTTAACTACTTCTTTTTTTCCCCAAAGTCTCAAAAAATAGACAACTAATATTTATAAATGAAAGTAAAAGATAATTTCAAAAAACAGATCATGCCAAATCTTATAGACAATAGAAAAAGAAGAAATACTTCAAAATCATTCTACTTCATCTGGATACACCTGATAGTAAAAGGCTTTCTGAGGCTAGAATGTCGTCCTCTGTACTTATCTTTACAAAACCTTGTAGTATTTTTTTAATAAAGAATACCTTGTCGTGGTGACCAACACCATAACATATGGACAGGACTGGTTCGTATTTGAAGAATACTGTGTTATAATCTGCAAGCTGCTTTTTGCAGAACCCAGGATCTTTTTAGCCTGAAGGAAGAAATCCTTCCTTTACTGACCAAAATTGAGATCAAGGAGCAAAGGGAGATGAAGAAATCTTGAAGTTAGGCTAGAAACCCGGATGACCAGGAGAACAAGGAAAGGATATTGATAGGACAATGAGAGAGAGAGAGAGATGATAGATTAAAGATAGATACATAGATAGATGATGGATTAGGAAGGTAGATGACTGACAGGTTGATTAAATAGAAGCAGATTGGATGAAGAGAGAGACAGGAGACAGATTAGATAGGTAGACAGGATGATAGTAGATAGATAAGCAGGTGACAGGTGATAGAAAGGTTAGATAGGTAATAGACAGGAAGGATCAGTAAGTGATCAATGCTACATAGATAACAGATGGCTAAATGGAAGAGAGAGAGGCAGAGAGGAAGGGGCATGGTAGCCTGGAGGGACACCAGCAATACTTCTGAGGGCCCATTTTAATGGGAACTATCTCAGAATGAAGCTCAAATTGCAAAGTCTTGTAAAGGGTGTCAAATGCCTATTTGTTAAACTTGAAAGAAAAGAGAAAGTGGGACCAGCGGGAGGCGGGGCCTCTCTAACCCCCTGATCCATGTGAGCGGTTTGATCAGGCTCTGAACAGCTGCTTCTCTAAGTCATGCTGATAAGAAATGCATTAATTTTGCTATTTGAAATTCTTACTAAAATTAGTGATATAGCCATTATGATTTATTTAGAAAACTACTATTTCAAATTGCAGTGTTTGTATGAATGCATTATTTTATCAGTCTCACTCAAAACAGGTGTCGGGGTTGATAGCTGTTGCAACCTGTGTAAACACTGCATATTAAGCCTGGCACCTGATGACGGTTTCATTCCTATTTTTCTCCTCTCTCATGGCTCTATTTATAAATGAATGGTCTAATAATTAGAGAATGCAAGAGCTGGAGAACCACCTCTGATACCTGGTTGTTTCCCATCACCTTACGACATGTTCACTCGGCCCTGACCTGTGTAAAGCCCTGGGAGGCAGGGAGGACAGTCCCCCAAGGGCTGAGGGTCATGGCTGGGTAACTTGTAATGAGTCACGGTATAGGGGTCACTTTACATGAACGTGCTCTCATCAGGGCTACAAACACGGTCACTGTGTAATGTTTTAAAGCCAAGGCACAGGTCGTCAGGGAAAGTCTTTGTCAATGTCTCATCTTAACGATCACAGGGGCTGTTGCCGGGTGGACATTTTCATCCATGCTATTGACACTCAGTGAAAAGAAAAAGAATATGCAGCCTCTGGGGTTTCATCTTGTCTAAAGAGCCTTTGGTTTATCAGAAAACACAGCATTCTACAATTACACATGGCTGCAATACAGAAATACATGTATTTTTAATAAAACTCTTTCTCCATGAAAGATAGCCAGAGATGTAATGAAAAGTGAGGGGAAGGGTCACATGTTTTAAACTGTAAATAACTCAGGGCCATCATCCAAGATGGTTTCTTTCCTTCCCCAGCACATGTGTACGCCCCCACTGTGCTCCAAGGACTCCTGCCGCTGGACTCAATGTCCCTCTGTCAACAACAGGTCCCTGCCTGCCTGTCCTCTCCCGAACACCTCACGTGCTGCCAGCGTCACCAGCCACTGTTGACCTGAACAGCTATTTCACACAGGACACTGCTGGTCGGCCCTAACAAGGCCAGATGAGCTGAGGTGCTGACGTCCAGGGATGGTTTACTTACTTCCAAGGCTTACATAAATAAGTGGGGGAACTGGACTCCATGGGACCAGTCGAGAACCCAGGGCACTCTGCACCCAATAAAATGTTAACTAACTGTAAATTTAATCTGAAGTAAAAATTCTTTAAAGATATAATCACTTTAAGATAAAAAAATGTATGATTTTGGAACCTATAAAGAAAATCTGTTTGACGTATGCTATGATGAATAATAACAGTACTGATGCTTACTTTTACTATAAAATAAAAAGCAACAACATGAAAGAGGAGGGCAGAACAGTTCTTCAGAGAAATATCCCCACTGCTCTCCAAAACTGCTTACTTTTCTATAAATAGAAGTGAAATCTTTGGAACTCCCATCTGCTTCTCTGTTGATGGACTTGGATGACAGGCTGACTCCTTGGTCTAACAACACAATCTGGTGACCATGAAGGGTCATCAGCTGGCATCACCTAGGACCCTACAACTCCCCCTGGGCAGGTGACTAGGACGCGCCTCCCTGCCGCTCCTGGCAGCCTGCCCGATACTTTCTTCCAGACATGCTGGTGGGTGTCCTCCTGCTCTTGCTGTGGCTTCACGTTTATAAAGAGATACTTTTCACTTTATTCAGGTGTGCACAGCAGTTAGAGTCCCTGCCTGGTTGTGCAGAGAGGTTAGAGTCCCCGTCTGGTTGTGCAGAGAGGTGAGAGTTCCCGTCTGGTTGTACACAGGGGTCAGAGTCCCTGTCTGGTTGTGCAGAGAGGTTAGAGTCCCCATCTGGTGCACAGGGGTCAGAGTCCCTGTCTGGTTGTGCAGAGAGGTTGGAGTCCCTGTCTGGTTGTGCACAGGGGTCAGAGTCCCTGTCTGGTTGTGCAAAGAGGTTAGAGTCCCCGTCTGGTTGTGCAGAGAGGTTAGAGTCCCCGTCTGGTACACAGGGGTCAGAGTCCCCGTCTGGTTGTACATAGGGGTTAGAGTCCCTGTATGGTTGTGCAGAGAGGTTGGAGTCCCTGTCTGGTTGTACATAGGGGTTAGAGTCCCTGTGTGGTTGTGCACAGGGTTAGAGTCCCAGTCTGGTGGCCTGGTGTGCATTCTGTGAAGCTTAACTAAAGGGACTCTGTGTCAGTTCCGGGGGACAGCCTGTTGGGTCATACGCTATCTAATTAGTCATCTTATGGGTTCCCCACCCGTGACAAAAAAAAAAGATGAGGTTTTACTATGACACAACCTGGCCTTTGTAGAATCTTAAGAGTGAAAAAAAAAAAAAAGTAGCCATTCAATAGATCCTTAGATTATCAAGCTATTTAATAACTAGAGGTCTTTTTTCAAAGATCAGAGAAATGGGATGAGATCCCCTATGTTTCAGCTTCATTTCTGTTTATGTACACACCTCATGTCTATCTCTTTGCATATATTTATATATAAGATTTGTTTCTGTTTGTGTATCTATATACCCAGAAAAAAGCTCATTGAGATAAATCCTGTCTATTGAGCCACTTATAAATCTTACTCCCTAACTAAAAAATAATTAATATTCTATGTAACATTATTTGGCCCATACATATTTGGGGCTTTGAGAAAAAATAGCTCTTGAGTGGTTCATTAAATTATTGTACTATATTTTACAATAGTACAATATATAAATAGTACTAAATAGTACTAATATAAATAGTACAATATTATTTTATCAATGGTCAACAAAATATGATGAAATTGCATATATACAGCTTTGTAATGTCTTTACATAACACAGATACAAAAACATCTTCTGATAGTTCAAAAAACAAACAAAAACTCAGTCACTCAAAAAAAGAAGTTATAGAGTAAAGATAATCAGGATAAACTGTTAAACATTCCCATGCTCTCTCAGCTCCAGAGGGGAAGCTGAGAGAGGCAACCCTTCCTTACCAGAGGAAAGAAGATCTGAAATCTTCTAAAATCTGGGAAAATCTCAATTCCGCCAGACAGCCAGCCAAGAAAAACTTGATTTCCCTGATTTACTTTTATTTTCACCGTTTTCTTTTTACCTTATGCCCTGCTGAAGTTTAAGGGGTGTTTGACCCGCTTCTGGGTTTGCTGCACTCCTGCCTTAGGGAGCTCCCTGGGAGAACCTCCTTGGCAGTGGCCTTGACAGCCACCCACGGAGCACCCTGAGCTCAGCCTACAGGACACATGGAACG